ACTCGAGACCAAGTCTTACGAGGCAAGACAATTCCTTTAGTAAAGTGTTGTGGCGACACCACGGAGTTGAGGAAGTCACCTCGGAACGTGAGGTAGAAGTCCGTGAAAAATATTCGGACCTACTTATTGATGTTTGAACATGTATTAAAAACTTTGTTCAGTTAATATAATATAAACATTGTATATATTTTGGAATTTGAATTGTATATTCAATATTGAAAACTCGTTTATCATATTGATGAGAGTGGATGACCGGTGGATGGGTCATGGTGATGAATTTAGATTATTGTCATTGTTTTAATTGGTTTAAACATGGTTTTAATGTTTGATTTCAAATGTCGGGGATGAAATTCCTAAATGGGGAAAGATTATAGCGATTACGGTTTAGACACGACCCTTTTGATGTTTTGGATCCGGGTTTCTTTGTCATATATAGTTATTTATGTCTTGTTTCCCTTTATACCTCTTTGAGTTTGGCTTTTGGGTTGTGTTGGTCATGTTCGAAATAGGTTGATAGCTTGCTTTTCTAACTGTCGTTGCCCAGAATTTTGCTCCTACGCTCGAGCGTCACTTCTTGCGCTTGAGTAGCCTTTGTGAACTCTCAGTACTTTCGCAAGTCTGCAAAACTACTGGGAAGTGGTATTCTTCGCTCCAGCGAAGCTTCTTGTGCTCGAACGGCCCTTATTGCGCTAGAACGTTGGCCTTTTGTCTGTAAAACTACAAGGAGTTTATATTTCACGCTCGAGCGATAACTTCTTGTGCTCGAGCGGTCACATCTTGTGCTCGAGCGGTCACATCTTTTGTGTCTTACACTCAAGCATCACTTATTGTACTCGAGCGGTCTGTGTGTATATCAATCCATAAAGGTCACTTTTTACATCACTTTTTCATCTCTCCCTCTCTCTCTCTAAACATTAAAAAACCCTTAATTGAGTCCCTCTCTCTCTAAAACTCATCTGCTCTCTACAAATACACCTAGATCCGTCGATTTTTTCACTCGTGTCCTTTTGTTAAAAACGTAAAGCTTGACAAGGGCTTCGTTCTAATCGAAGCAAAGTTGGTTTTTGGCATCTTTGGGTTTTCTACACTTTCTCTCATCTTCTAAAACTTGAGGCAGGGATTTTTCGCACCTTCTATGAGTTTTAACTTAATTATTTGCGATTTCTAAACAACATTGTGATTTTGGAGGTTTTTGGAACAAACCTAGGGTTTTGGGTAAAAATCAAAAGATGGGCTTTTCAAATGGATCCTTAAAAAATGACTATGATGTTGGTAAAAATGTTGAGTTCGGAAGAAATGGTTGATTTTGATACTTGGGGTTAATTTTGAAAAGAAAATGATTTTTGCCCTAAATGCCTCAAATATTGATTTTGTATAAATAATGAAATTGATGTTAAAATTGTGAAATTAGATTGATATTGATGAGGATAGTGGAGTTGGATAAATATTATCATTCACCTCTTAAAATTTAGAAAGCTGATCTTTATTGAAAATAGTATATCTGTTTAGAAATATCTATTTTGGGCTATTGGTGGATGATAGTTATGATTGTTGTAGAAATTGCAAGAGAATTAGGAGGATTGAAACGATTTTTGAATTTATTTGCATTGGTCATTATTTCACATTTATACATTGCACATGTGTATTGTTTTGAGAGAAAGGGTGAATATGGGAAGGATTTGTTGTTACATTAAACAAGTTGGCATGTGTGTCTAGGGTGAAAGTCCCGAAAACTACGCATATACATGGGTGTCGATCCCATGGACGAAAATTCTGTGAAATGGCAATAGTAGTGCTTGTATAGCCTATGTAGGTCCCGACTTACAGTTTCCTCCGGACGAAATTTTCGGGAAAGGTTGTATTGTTTTGAAATTCCCAGAGTGTGATTTACTGTCCTATTTTTTATTGTATAGGAAACGATTTATGAAGCTCGATATTAATTTGGCATTAAATGGTTTTGGAAAAGAGATGAAAAATATTTTGGCATGAGCATTGCATGTGCATCCACCTTATAGCTTTGTTAAGATTCATGTATTGTGTTGGAATATCTCTACTGGGCTTAGCTCACCCTATGTAGGAAAAATATTTTAGGTGTTGGTGATATGCTTCCGCCAAGGCAGTAGCTTAGTAGGACATAGAGCGAGAGCTTCTTTTGTGTATTTGCTATATTTATTTTGTACGAGCCAAAGGCTTTAACTGTATGAGACTTAAGTCCACTTTTGTTGTAACCAAGCATCGTCTTGGAAAGATGTAAGCCCTTTAGGGCATTTCTTTTTTGCCTAACTTTCATTTTGTCTCTTTATTACATCACTATTTTGTAAAGCTTAATTGCAAATCAACAAAAGATAACTACTTTGTCATTGTGATCACTCATTGATGTTGTGTATGGGTTGTAGTAATTATTTCGAGGCGTTATAATTATAATTATTGGGATTTCTACTGGACTATATGTTCATTCCACGTTGTTGATAACTTTTTAAGTGCAAAGTTTGAAATTTTACTTAGAGTTGGAAAGCTCCCTTTATCTTTGGCTATGGGGCCTTTTTATGTGTAGGCAGAATGTTGTATTTGTCAAGGGTCAAACCTTTTTTTATTTATGCAATTGTAAGTCTAAGGGCATTTTTATCAATTGTAATCCATTGTTGCATCATATGCATAAACGAAAGGGAACTTCTATGGCTTATCTATGATTAATGATTGTAGCTTCCCATGTTTCTTTATGAAAATGGATAATAATAACGGATATGGTAATGTTGATCTGGTTCTAAAATATGGAGCGTTACAACTGAGGTTGAGTATTGTGCTATTACTGACACTACTCAGGGATTTGTGTGGCTTTGTTGGCTTCTTTCTAATATGGGGTTTTTTATCCTGTTGCCACTAACCTCTATTGTGATAATCAAGGTGTTATTCAGATTGACATAATGATGTCTTCCATGATCGTACAAAGAATATTGAGATTGATTGTCTTTTCATACGACAACATGTTACTAGTGGCACTGTTCGTTTTCTCTTTGTTACATCTCCCGATCAGATAGTCGATATCTTCACCAAAGCTCATCCTCTGAGATACTTTTCTGACTTACTTTCCAAGTTGAAGTTGATCTCTATATAGGGCTGATCCTGAGATTTATGGAGCCTTAGGCGAGCTTTGAAAGTGGGGCCCTCCTACATATATTTTTTATAAAAAAAATTACCAATAAAATAATAAGTTACTAATAATTTTTTTTTTACTATTTAGTAGCTACAAAAAGTTTCCTTACACATATAATTATTAAAATTTATTTTCATATATTAAGATATGAAAAAATCATTACGAAGACTCAAAAAAGATAAAAATAGCGTCTTGTTAATTTATAGTTTAGCAATAATCAACAAACAACATACATTCACTGATATCCGATAACGAAATGATTATGTTATTATAATATGATATCTGACACAATCATAATTCACACAAATCACAATTCACTAATTATTTGATAACAAAACACAAATTATTGAAAAAAAAATGAGAGAAAAAATCAAGGCAAAATTATTCAATAAATTATGAGAAAGAGAGAGGGCAAAAAAAAGTAGGGCAAACAAAATTAAGGAAAAGAAATTAGGATAAAATTATTCAATTATAATATGATAAAGAGAGATGGGAAAAAAAATTAAGATAAAGTTATTTATTCTATTAAAATCTTGACATTAGACTCTATTTGTACTCATTATATCATATATATTCGTTTGGACTAATTATATAAATTTTTAATTGGGCCTAACAATGATTATATATATATATTTATATATATATTTTTTAATTTGGTCCAACAGATTTTTTGAGGGGCCTTTTAGACTGGGCCTCAAACACTAAAAAATCATTGGCTTTAAACTTTTAATATAATATAAAGGATAAATTATGCAAATGGTCTCCGTAGTTTACACGATGTGTTAAATTGGTACCTGTTGTTTTAATTTGATCAATTTTGTCCCTTAATTTAACAGGCTATCTCGTATTGGTTCAATAAATAACAGCCACTGGGTTTGGTGGACGGAAAGTTCTCACGTGCTCAAACAATATATCAATTTGGTCCATGTAATTTACTCATTAAAAAAAAAAAAAATTAAAAAATAATTTTTAACCATCTTTTCAAAATATCCCTATATATTATATATACTTATATATTCTCATTCCTTATATAGATTTTATGATTGTATTACAGTAGTTGCAGTTTCTATTCTTAGTCGCGTCCTTCACTATACATGGGACATCTTTCAATACATTGATTTTTTTCTTTTTTTTTTCAAAGTTGAAATGTTGGCTGTTCATTGACTTTTATTAAAAGCACATAATAAAAGATTTAGTTAATTAAATAATTTTTTTTTTCAAGTATTAACCAAACGCATTAGAATATAAATAAAGCATTAGAATATAAATAAAAATAATTTTTTTATGTGCAAAATCAATCTAGATAAAAAATACTTTTCCAATGTAAAATTTGTTAGGTCAAAACAAGTGAAATATAAGTGATTAAAGTGAAATATAAGTGATTAATTTAGAATACAGTATTTTTTTTAAAAGGTAACTAACTTGAGCACAAAATTTCGTTCTATTTGGTTTGAAATTTTTAAAAATAATTTTTTTTAATTTCAATTTTTATTTAGCATTTTTAGTGATTTTTAAAAATATTTTAATCATTTTTTGAATTTTTAAATTCACTTAATCTTGATATATTTAAAAATATAAAAAATTGTACAAAAATTTTCATTGAATACAATAAAATACAAAAATTTACTAAATTTTTATATTTTTTTAATTTTTTTTTGTAGTTAGTGAATTTTTTAAAGTTTATTTTTCACAAATACTATACATTTTAAATGCATCTAAATTAGCTGTATGTAAAACAAACTTACACAAAATATTAAAAAATTCACTAAAAATAAAAAATAAAAAATTCAATTTTTGAAAAAACAACAAAAATAACGGCAAACAAACAAGGTGTAGGAATTTGTCTTGAGACTAGACAATACTAACTTGACAAAATCACAATAAGAAATTCCAGACAAAAATCTTGGAGTAGGGGGTGGTCTTCTTTCCCCAAATTCGGAAGCTAAATCATCGCACAGAATATCGGTCCTTCCTTGTCTGTTTCTTCAATTTCCGATTCAATTCTAGGGTTTGTACTCTCTCTCTCTATCTCTCTCTCTCTCATACACACTTGTATGTATAAACACCAGCTCACTTGGCCTCTACCTACTATACATTTGAAGCTTGCATACTCAAACATGTCTATATATATACATATATACGTATTTTACAGTTGCTTGTGAGCTCTCACGGCTTCAGAATTCAATGGGGCGCTCTCGCCCAAATTTTCACGCTGACGAAGATCCTAGCCAGAGGTTCAAAATTCTCTCTCCTTTCTAGTCATTCGATCTGAATTTCATGCTGTTTTACTCCGCATTTTGTGTTATAATCACACATACACACATATTTATGTATATTTACATGTATTCATGGATGTGAAGCTGTTAGCTGTGTATACATTTGTCTAGATTATCTTTTATTGCTTGTGTATTAGTATTGATTGGTATCTATTCAGAATTCTCTGTTTTTTAGTACCGATAGTTGTTACCGGCACACTTGCCCTGATTTCTAGGTGGCCGCATAGTGTGGCTGGAGCAGCTGAAACTGCCTGATTGCCAGTGGCTAGGCGGTTCCCTGGGAGGGCGTCTGATCATTCCTTTTTGCCTGTTTGTGAAACCATGAACTGTTGTACTAAATTGAAGTAATTACTTTAGATGGACCTTTAGTGGTACGTTTTCATGTATCAAATTCAATCCAATGTTAAATCAATGTACTTTGAAATATTACCATGACTTCATAAATAATATTATAATTTATAGATAAACTAGTGTATACCTGTACCTGAAGGTACGGTGCGAATAAAAATAAGTGAACAAAAAGGAGAAAATAAAAAAAATAATTAAATAGATAGAAAAATAAAAATGAGAGAAAATAAAAAAATTAAAAGAAAATAGGGAGGAAGGTGGGATTATGGGATCATGAAAAGATGGATGAGAAAATGAAAAAGTAAGAGAGAGAAGCGGGAAAGTAGAAAATGTACATGTAGGACATTTTCAAAAAAATATATTTCAGCCATTGTTTTATAATTTGAACAGATCTGAGCCATTCAAATGTCCTAGGACAAAAATATGTTGAAGACTCAAAACTGTCCTGCTTCATTATATAGATGAACAATAACGACAATTTTAATAATTGTTTCTTCATTAATTGTGTGGGTTAAAAGTTTATTCATTTAATAATTTATATTGCTTGGTTGTTTTTGTATTTTTGTATGTAAATTTTTTGTTTTTGTTTTTTAGATGTAGGTTGTATGGTCTATTTCGAATTGTAATAAAACATATGGTAAATATAATATGTATTCTCTATATTAAATTATGCGGCATTAATTTTGTGGAAATTACACTAACTTCCTTTGAATAATGAGAAAAATAGATCAAGTCCCACAATTTTGACAAAATTGCACCAATCCAACAACAAAAAAGTTGACAGTGTTAGCTTTCATAAGTGAATTACCCTTTTACCATTACATTATATATATATATATTGAATTTAACAGCCATCCACCCCATCTTCACAGCCCAATCCTCTTCCCCTCTCTTCCACTTCTGACTTGACCCCCACCCCATTCATAGCTGTCACCAACACATGCTACCCATAGCCCCTTCTTCTGTAGACCCTCCCGGTGAGTCACCACCAATGAACACCCTTTCCCTTGCCACCACTATGAACCATCATCAAATCCATCCCAATCCACCACTAAATATATAAAAGCTATGGTCTTGTTTGATCAACAGTATTGATAGTGAAAGGATCAATAATCTCATGAATTAGTGTATGATTAGTTATCCAATTAAATTAGTGAGATAACCATTTATTATGTATTTATTTATGTATTTTCCTTTCATACTTGAAATTATGATCCTCAATCCCTCTCAATATTAGAAATTTGCCAATTTTGTTGGATTGAATATCCGCCGTACATGTAATTTGGTTAATAATATTTGCAATCAAACATAGGATTATGAGTCCTTAGACTAACAATCTCAATCTTATACTATAATCCTACTAATCGAACATGCCCTATATGTATATGCATAAGCACTATTTAATTAGGAAACCCAAGAATAGGACACTATAAATAAAGAAATAAAATCCTATTAAAACATAATTTATGATTATACTGAAATTCATATATTTTTCTATTTATTGTCTTCCAATGCCTCATTAACAAAAAAGTTGATAGTGTTAGTTGTCATAAGTAAATTACTTTTTTACCCTTACATTATATATATTGAATTTAACAACCATCCTCCCCTTCTTCACAACCCAATCCTTTCCCTTCTCTTCCACTACTCACTAGCCGGCCTCCCCAATTCATAGCTGTCCCTCCCCAATTCATAGCTGTCACCATTACTAGCCGCCCATAGCCCCTTCTTCTTTTGTAGACTCGCCTTGTGAGCTGCCACCAACAAACACCGTTTCCCTGCCATCACCACGAACCATCAAATCCAACCAAATCCACCACTAAACCATCACATAAAAGCCATATATATATGCATAAACACTATTTAATTAGGGTAAATTACCAATAGGCCCAATTTTGGGAGCTTATTACCCATTAAGTCCCAAGTGATAAATTTATTAGTCTTTCTTGTTTTTATGAATAAATTTATAATGATAAATTTATCAGTCATGACCTGTAGGTAAATAAATCTAGTTAATAGGATTAATTAAGTGCCCATTTAATTAGGAAATCCAGGAATACGAAACTACTAATAAAGAAAAAAATTCCTATTAAAACCTAATTACTAATTATACTAAATTTATATATTTTTCTATTTATTGTCATCCGATGCCTTTCCGTTCCCTTGCAACAACGTTAAGGTTTTGGAATGTCTATAGCCTTTGATTTTTGATTTTTATGATACACTGCTGTAGGCAAAAGTATTGCATTTTTGTGTTGTCTTTGCCATTTTCAGATTTACCCAGATTTTTCATCTTTATGTGTTCATTACATTCATCTCCTTAACCAAGGGGTTGTTGCCAAAGTGGCTAACCCTTTAGCCACCATGTCTCTCCAAAGGAGAGGTTGTGGGTTCCACTCTTAGGAGTGGAGTGGAGGGCAAGACTCATGTGCTTGGAAGGAGAGAGTAGGAGTTCAACTCCCCTCAGGTGCTAAACTAACAACTAACCATTGAATTTTGCCAGTCAAAAAAAAAAAAAAGTTCATCTCTTTCATGGAGATTTGTATTTTCTTCCTTTTCCAAATTCATATTTCTTTTGTTGTAACTTGTATTGAAGGTCTTTAAATCTAGGTTCAATAGTTCTTTCTTAATACCTGTATTTATATTGTTTTTTTGTTCTTCCTTTTTCTAAAGACTCATTTCTGTGTTGCAGATCAAGGAGAAAAAAGAATGCTTCAAGTGGAGAAAATTTGGAATCCACAGCAGCAGGTACCCTGCCACCTCTTGAATTTGTCTTATGAAGTTTCTTAAGGAGTTATTGAACTATAGAATAATATTGTCTGATGGTTAATTGTAACAGGGTGTAGTAGAATGAGGTAAAGGCAAATATTTAGTCTAGGAACTATGCCGTTTGTTTTTTCCTTATCACTCCTCTCCTTAAATCCCCAGCTTTTTTTGTTGTGCAACTTTGAAACAATGTGAAAGTGGAGGTCGGGGACTGTGTCCTGCCCTATGGTCAGTTGTGGTCATCAAATTGTGGTGTCCCTTGACATAATTTTCATTTTATGACTGTTCTGTGGTAGGTGCCTTAAAATTCTAGTCTGAGTATTTCAGTAGAGCAGCTAGACAAATTTAATGTGCAGTTGACAACATAATCATGTGCAAATGCAAACAGTTAATGTCGTGTGATGCGTCCTACATTATGCTTTGCTCTTTCAAGTCAATATCTTGCTATATATGTGAGGATTATTAATATATTTCTTATGATGAGTCAGGCCAAGGAACAGGTGACGGTAAAAGGGCTTTGTATCACTGCAACTACTGCAACAAAGACATTACTGGGAAAATTCGTATCAAGTGTTTTATGTGTCCTGATTTCGACCTATGCATAGAGTGCTTTTCTGTTGGTGCTGAGGTGACACCTCATAAAAGCAATCACCCTTACAGGGTTATGGTTAGTAAGATCATTGTGGGTTTCTCTAGATACATTGTTAATATGCAAAGTTGTTTCATGGTCTCGAGTTATGAATGGTAGCTTTACTTCATAATCTGGGTTTCTTTAGATACATTGTTAATATGTAAAGTTGTTTCATGGTCTTGAGTTATGAACGATAGCTTTTCTTCATAATCTGATAATGTTGAAGCAGAACTGTGCCTAATTCTCAAATATATTTATACATTGAAGAATTAGGGCTCCATTTGGTTTAGTTTTGGAATTATGATTTAAGTGTAGAGTTGTGATTTAAGTGTAGAATCATGAGTTGAGTTTTGAAAAGAGAAAATTTGTTTGGTTATGAGTTTTGAAAAAAGTTTTTGAATGAGTTTTGAAAAGAGTTTTGAGTTTTGAGTTTTGAAAAGAGTTTTGAGCTGTATATTGAATTTTGTGTTGTATTTTAAAAAATTTTGGATTTATTTTCTTGAAATATTAAAAAATGTTTAAGATAATTTTATTTTTTTATTTTAAATATATAATTTTTATTTAAATATTTTTAATTTAAAATTTAAATAATTTAAATATTCAAAAAATTTAAATAATTTAAATATTCAAAAAATTTAAATAAAATAAATATTCAAAAAATTTAAATCATAAATATATAAATAATTTAAATAATCTAAAAAATTTAATAAGTAAAAAATTAAAATAAATATTCAAAAAATTTAAATCATAAATATATAAATAATTTAAATAATCTAAAAAATTTAATAAGTAAAAAATTAAAATAAATATTCAAAAAATTTAAATAATTTAAAATGTTAATATTTTAATACTAAAACAACTCTACACTCAAATCGTAACCAAACACATAAAACAAAACTCAATTAAGAAATTATTTTTAAACCTCATAACCAAACGCATAATTCGAAACTCCATACTACTTTCACAATTCTACACTCAAATCGTAACCAAATACATAACAAAAAAGTTAAAATATTTAAAATAAAAAAATAAAAAAATATTTAAAATAAATATTATATATTTAAAATAAAAAATAAATTTTTTAATATAAAATATTTTAAAAAAATACAGCACACAAATGTATAAAATATAGTGCACATTAAAATAAATAAATAAATATTTAAAATATAAAATATTTAGGCTAAAAAAATAAAACTAAGAAATTTTTTAAATATTTAAAAAAAATAAATCCAAAAAATTTCAAAATACAACTCAAAACTTAAAATACAACTGAAAATTCTTTTCAAAACTCATAAATTAACCAAACAAATTTTCTCTTTTCAAAACTCAACTCAAAACTTATAATTCAAAACACGACTCCACACTCAAATCATGATTCTAAAAATAATTTTAAAAAACAAAATAAGAAAATATTTTTTTATGAGTTTTGAAAATAGTTTGTGAATTAAATTTTGAGTTTTGAGAAAATTTGTTTGGTTATGAGTTTTGAAATTTTTTGATTAGAATCAAAATTCCAAAACACAATCAAACGCTACCTAGGGTTTTTTTATGGGTTGAGAAGAAATTCTTGGTGAAGGACCTTTCGTTGTGGGTTGACTTAATCTCGTTTTGATTACTTACAGTGCTTAACCAATGGGGCACATTGTGCCCCAATTAGGAATGTTAGTTGTGCATTTACCACTGACTATAGTTATGGACATTGTGAGTTGTCTTCAAATTTTACTCGTGAATTTTTCTTGTCTCAGCGTTGGCTGCCATGCTGTTTCACCTAATAGTTAGAATTCTATAGTTTGGATGCACGTGAAAGTGAATAGCCTTCTAATCTTCTTGTGCTATGTACCATGATATAACAATGTTTAGGTGATCTTTTTTTTCTCCATTTAGATTTTGGTTTTTCTCCATTCTTTATTTTCATGTTAGCAGTATTATTAGTAGTTTTATTTTTTGTGACATAATTCTGAATGCTTGCTCTATGTTAATGTTCTTACAGGACAATTTATCTTTCCCACTAATCTGTCCAGACTGGAATGCTGATGAAGAAATTTTGCTTCTAGAGGTGGTCCTCCCTTATTGTATGTTTGATACATCCTTGATTTGCACCTTTTGCTTTGTGGAAGAGATACCTGACTTTTAGTTGTTTTTTTTGTGGTGTTTGTGGGGGAGTTGTTTATTTAGGGGATTGAAATGTATGGCATGGGAAATTGGGCAGAGATTGCTGAACATGTTGGGACAAAGAGTAGAGAACAATGTATTCAACATTATAACACTGCCTACATGAACTCACCATATTTCCCTCTGCCGGTATGACAGTCAGCACTATTCAATTATTTTTGCCTTTTTTATTTTTATTTTTATTTTCCATATCTGTCGGTAATTTCTACTGCAAATTGTATTTTAGGACATGACTCATGTTGTTGGCAAAAATAGAAAGGAACTTCTTGCTATGGCTAAAGGGCTTGGTGAAGACAAGAAAGGTTGGTGATAATATTGTCTATTTTCATCTTTTCTTCTGGTTCTATTGTTTGACATTGTTTATGTAATGGAATTTGATAAATTTGCATTTGGCACACACTGTATTCATAAGTTTTGAGAGGCTACCTTGCCCACTGATGTTGAACAAATGTAGGTCATGACCCAATGGAAGACTAATCTTTATGGAGATATGCTTGTAATATCAAGAAGTTTGGCTGAGTACATGAGTACCATAGCTTGGCCAGCTTCTATATTTTGGTATCTAGTTTAATATATTTTTGATGTAGTTGTGCAGTGATTTGTATTCCACTTGGCTATAGCATAGTGGGTGAATTGGTGACATCTGGGCATTTAGGAAGTTTTGTTCATGTAGTCTCTTCTTGGCAATGATGTTTGGTATTATAAACTGATGAAAATCATGTAAGACCCGTTATTCATCGCGCCTTACATGAGACGGGGCTGGAAGAATTTGAATTGAATTATGTAAGTTTAATTTAGGATATGTTAATTTTAGAAGATAATTATGCATTTTCATTTATTTTGGTAGTTTATTATTTATTGTTTTATTTGAACCTTTTTAGTTGGCCTATAAATGTTAGATTTCTTGTTATTTGAAGACACTTTTGATGTTGAGAATAAGAATTGAGTAGAGAACACTGACTTGTTAGGGGTTTTTTAGCTCTTTATTTCTTTTGTTTTCGTTGATCCATTTCACACTGGTCATCCGACATCAAGTGGTATAAGAGTTTAGTCTGATCTCTCGCTTTCCAAACCAAGGTTGGTCTACTACAGTGATCAATAACCAGTCAACAACCTTGTTGGAATATTGCCACTGCGTTTGCAAAATGCATCATCGTACATACAGTGATTGAAACCTCACCATCACCACTCACAGTCGGCAAAGAACACCTTCGTTGACCGCTCAACCATCACTCTCTCATCTCTTTCATCACATAGTCTCCGGGACCAACATCATTGTCGACATATTCTGTCGCGGACAACCCTTGCCATAGATCAACAGTCATCTCGTCGATTACTATGTGCTACCTCACATCATCCTTTTTGCTTCATTCTTGACATTGTCACTCGCTAGTGCTCGTTGTCATCCCTGCGTGCTGCCTTTGTTATTGTCGTCCGTCAATTGGAAGCCTAGTGCTTCAGGGCGTCATTCTTTGAGGACAAGTACTAGAGAAAAGGTCTAACATAATACTAAGTAAATCCAAACCCTTGACCTGAAACATTACAAACTCAAATAACTCATAACCCGACCCATTCTCCACCTGGCCTAGTACATTTACGACAACTAGGCTATACCCAGCCCAAAGCCTAACTTAATCCCCAAACCTAGAATCCTAGACCCAGGTCCAGAACGAAATAAAATAAAATCAGCAACATAGTTTTTGTATCGAACAGTAACAGAAACATAGTTCTAGCACTTTAGTGGGCTTCCTATTGCTTCATAAGGTGCATGTCTTCACATTGAAACTAGATTAGCTCATTTATATATTTGGTTTGAAAGTAAAACTTGCAAATTAAATCTTAATCCTTTTAAATTCCATCTCCACTTTTCATTTCCAGGAAAAACAAAAAAACAAAATATGAGAGGAAATTTTTTTAATTTTGTTTTCTTACATTCTTACCCACATAACCTTGTTGCGGGCACTTGTATAATCACTTTTATTGCATTCTCATTCTTTTTATGAGCATTGGTAATAATTTTATTATTTAATGCAATTTTGTTTCAAATATCAGCATTAACCAAATTTCTCTCCTTTTACCACCATGGCCATCTGCTACTTGACTGACCAACAAAATTATTGGAACAAAGAGTCAGTACCTTGGAAAACCAAATCACCACTACCTAAACTCAATCACCTCTCCTAGACTATGAAGCACGGCTGCTCCAAAAATGTTGCTGTACAAGTACCGGTTACTTATTGGGCGCGGAAATGTATGCCGGTATGGCTGCACACTATCGGATACACCGTATACCTACAGGGTACGCCGTATACGGTCTAAGGAAGTTGTGTACGCGGCGGGTACTCAATGAGTGCAGGGTGGGTACTCCATAAGTACTCCACAACAGCTGATTTTTTTTTTTTTAATTTTATTTATTTATTATTATTATTATTTTTTCAGAAGTTGGAATTTGATGCAAGTCTATAGACTTGTTTCTCTTTGATCATCTTCAAAAATTTATGTAATTTGGAACCACCAACTCTTTACACTGTTATTGAGTAACTTTGCCCGCTTCCACTTATTGTGTTGTATAGCTTTGTATTTGTATTGTTGAATATTCATTTATTTTGGGTTTTGTAATTTCTATGTATAGCTATTGTTTTGAACTTTGATTTGTAGGTGGGATGTTTAGCTATAAATTTAATAAATAAATAAACAAATAAATATTTGACGTATCCTAGGCCGTATTTGTGTCTTACTTTTTTTAGATTTTAACATATCGACCTACCCGTATCGTACTCTTACCCGTATCGGTACCGGCACCTGTGCTTAATAGCTCCTAGATAACATGAACACTATTCAAACCCTTAAAACAAATATCAGAAACAACATGGCTGCTCTTGAAACATCAGGGAGTCAAATCATCCCTATAAATGTCGATGCTCAAAGCCGAAGAGAACACGTTGAATTCAATAAGGAGGTCCGTCTTGAGGAGTCAAATATTATCTCCCAACAAGTTACCCAACTAGTTGAACAAAGTTTTTCTTTTAGGGACAAACACCTAGGAAAGCAACCCGTTGACGAAGCTGAAGTTGAGTCTATTGATTTCCACCACAATGCTAAGCCTCCTATCATGAGTCACATGTTGCCTCTTGGGGCCCTTTGGTCCCCTACTCGAGTTTTGTTACCCATTGTCTCACCACCTCAGGTCCACCTGGGAGAAGATGTTCTAATTGCGCATGATAGGTACTACACCTAGGTTTGCTGATTTTGACATCAGTAGGAGAATTGAAATTGATATCCCCTCCTTTGATGGGTCATTAGATCCTAGTGTTTTCATAGATTGGTTGAACGATTTAGAGGATTATTTTAGTTGTCATGAGATGACATATGATAAAAAGATTCTTTTTCCGTGATGAAGCTTGTCGGGTCTACAAACATTTATTGACAAGGGGTTCAAAGGGACGAAGCCCTATTAGGAGAGGCTTAGTTTACCCGATTGGAAGACATGCAACACAAATTGAAAAAGAAGTAACTTCCCACAAACCTTTGACAACAATTAATGAACCAATGGCTTAACTTGATACATGATTTTTGAGTTTTGGTGACTATATATTGTAGTTTGAGATGCTCATGTTGAAATGTGAGTTACAGGAGAAACAACGGATTTAAGTCACTAGGTTCATTAATGGATTGAGACCTAAATATAATAAATACTTCAATATGCACTTTCTTCAAACTTTGGAAGATACCCACCGTTTAACTAGGGATTTAGAAAGTTACTCAGGGTTTCTTAGCCAGAGAAAGGTGACTTCTCAAGTCGGGGAGTCTTATTAGTTCCGACCTTTTGATAGGTCCAAGTGGGTATCCAATCTTAGTCTAGAGCAGTGTTTTAAAAAGCTCTAGGTGCATCGAGGCGCCAAGGTCACCTGAAGCCTAAGCGCGAGGCGAGGCACGCATCACCAAAGCGAGGCGCAAGTTATAAAGTTAAGCAAAATATTAATATAGTACAATTTTCAATATAACCAAATATTTAATATCCATATTATTAATTTTTTTAATAAGAGGAGAAGAGAAGAAGAAAAAAAATAATTAATTTTTTTAATATATATATATATATTATTTTATTTATTTATTATATTTTTTAAATAATGTGTTTCAATTATTTTTTTTATTTTTTTTTACATACATGTGTTTATTTTTTTTTTATTACTATGTGTAAATATATATTATATTTTATATATTATCTATAAGTATATTATATATTATATAATAGGTATTCTAGGTATTATATAATATTTTATATATATGAATTAATTATATTTTATATATTAGCTATAAGTATATTATATATTATATATTATATAATGTATTATCTATATATATATATGAATCAAGAAGATAAAAGAGAGAGAGACAGAAGCGAGAGAGTGATTGCTATCGCGATTGTGAGAGAGAAGGTGAGAGAGAGAGCGATTGTGAGAGAGAGAGCGATCGTGGCCCTTCGTGGTTGTCTTCTTCTCCACTAGGCTTTTTTTTTTTTCCTGCTCTTTTGACCCATGTTTTGATCATTTTATATTGCAAATGAGAATTTATTCCATGTGGGTATTCACACCAAAACAAGATGGGCTATAGTAGTAGAAGAAACGCGAAGCGCCAAAAGCGCACACCTCGAGCCTCAGAAAAAAGCACACGCCTCATCGCCTTAGCTGCGCCTCCTCTATGTCTTCTCGCCTCGCTATGCATGAGGCGCAAAGCTGCGCCTCACCTCACCTTGAGCTTAAGCGCGCACTTAGGCGCGCTTTTCGGAACACTAGTCTAGAGCAGTGGTTTAGCCCAAAACTAGGGGGGTTCCTTAGATTTAGTTTAGGGTTGTTATAATTCTAATCAAATTATATCAATCGCCTCCAAATGAAGCTACAACCCTAGTAATAATGTCCAGTAAAAACCCACTACATTATGGAATAGAGAGCGTACTTCTAGATTTCATCTGGGTAATTCTTCTGTAAAATGTTATCATTTTCATCGCATATAACATGTTTTTGTACGATTCCATCATCATACCTTTGCCATAGGTGTTGGAGATGAGGTCCTGTAGGATGAGGGAGAGGAGTTCGTTAGGTAGTTGAGATTTAATGCATTGTGATTCTAAGGAGGAGTTTGATGAAGAATGGGAAGCTACTGATCCTACCATTCATGTGATGCGATGCATTGTTATACTCTTGTAAGTACTAAGGCATGGAAGTTCACACTTATCTCACATATGGAGATAAGGCCTGCAAGCTTGTCATTGATGGGGGTAGTTATATGAATGTGGTGTCTAATTCTATTGTTGCTCAATTGAAGCTCTAGCAGATCCTCATCCTCATCCTCATCCTCATCCTCATTCATATAGGCCTCGTTTGTTTCCAGAGGTAGAATGAAGGGGATTCATAGTGAGGGGATTAATAGTGAAGGGATTGTTAGTGAGGGGATTGACAGTGAGGGGATTAAGTAAAATTGTGTTTGTTTTGATGATAGTTGTTAGTGTAGGAATTGTTAAATTATTTTTATATAAATTAATAAAACAAATAAAAAAATATAAAAAATCAAACATTAATGTTTAAAAAAAAATCCCAATATGTAAAAAATAAGAAAAATTAAAAAATTTCTAATCCCTTCACTATTTTTCTAATACCACTTCCACCTCCTCCATCCCAATCCCCCTTCTAACCTCCATCTTAATCCCCTCCTCCAGCTTAATCCTTTCCTCAACTCTACAAACAAACACAACACTAAATAACTCCACCTCCATCCTAATCTCCTCCCATCCATTACACCCCAAAACAAGCAGGGCCATAGGGTTGACAAGTTTGCTTGTCTCTGAGTGTTATTTGGTGCAGTGTTAATTAAGGCAAGCATCAAAGCAACCATGTCTCTTGGGTCCTAGGTGCAAGGTGTGAGCTTCATCGAAGGGAAGCACATGTTATAAATATTGCATGGTTTTTTATAACCAAACCAAGTATTGTGTCCCATTCGAGTGGGGTTTATAACATGAATCCTTTTTCGCCATTTTGCTTTGTTAAGGGCCATATTCTACATTAAATAATATAAATATATATTGCGTCCCTTGTTAGTATAAAGCCTAACTGTCTCCCTAACTTTTCCATATATGGTGATTATATCACTCTTCTTTACCGTTGTATTTGAAAGTCTTCGTTGTACATGGTCAAACCATCTTAGCCTACTTTTACTTATCTATGATAAGATAATTTGGTCATGTACAACGAAGACCTGTAGATCCAATAGTACGGAAGAGTGATATGACCACCAAAAATGGGGGAGTATGAGAAATTTATTGTGATATGACCACCAAAAATGGGTGAGTATGAGAAATTTATTGTGTTTTATCTACTGTGTACTCTGCAATGACATTGTAATTTACATGATATTATTATCACCCGAAACATTACATTGTGGTTAATAAGTTCCACCACATCAACAATTTCAAATGAATTATATTCAAATTAAATAATGAAAAGAAGTAAAGCAATAAAGAAATTAATTAATTATATAAATTAAGTAAATAAAATAACTAATTAAGAAATTTAAGGGTCCACTTGGATGTGGATTTCAAGTCAAGGGATTTGATCTTAATCATTCAAGGGCAATAGCTCAAATTTAGCTGTGATAGGTTGCTTATGAATTTTAAGATTGAGTTAAATAGCTTTATCATGATGGATTTGAAATAACCATGTAAAACTAGTTATTTGAAATCATGCTAAATATTCTCTTTCTAGCTATAAGGATTCTACTAAAATGTATATATTTTAAATCTTAAGTTATCTTCTTCCATTGTTTTTCTATCCAGTTAACCTCAAATCCACAACTATCCAAATGGACCCGAAGTCATTTAACAGTAAATACTTATACTGCAAATTATTGTTTTGCCATTATCATTGTCTTAAAACAAGGAAAAATTTGATAACTAAGCCAAAATATAGAAGTTTGGGTATTTATCTTGAACTTGTTGTCTAAGGTTGTCTAAGAATGTGGGCAACATATAAACATGTAATATTATAATCGGCTTTATTAGATTAATGGGTTGATATTGCATCTTTAACAAATTAGGCACACTTGGAAAAAATGCATGCCTTGAACGCCTTACTTGTACCTCATTAAAGTCGCCTCGCCTCAAGGGTGTTAAGGTGCCTCAAGTGCAATTCGTGCCTAGGTGGTGCTTCATTGCGCCTAACACTAGTTTAGTGCCTATCCAAGTGGTTGTCATTTGACTAAGATTATGTGTAATGTCTTTACCCATGCATGCAACTTCTGCTTCTAGGTCATCCGTGGCTCTATGATGTAGAAGCCAAAAGTTTCAATTGGATGAAGAAAACATATGCTTATCGACATAGTCCAAAAAACATGCTAAAATCTGTCAAACCTACTACTTGAAAGGATAATGAACTTCAGAGTAAACTCTTAACCCAATGCTCTTAGCAAGCATCAACTGCACTTGTTTGCCTATATGGAGTTTGAGAGGGAAAGTAGTGAGTCTGACATAATAATAGCCTTAATACATGAAGAATTTCAGATTCCTTTTGAGTCACATATCGACCGTTTACCAGAGGTTAACTAGTTGCATGAGTTTCATGATGCAACCCTAGATATGTTACTAGATGGTTTATCTTTCATAAATGACATGTGACACGCCATCGACCTAATCCTAGGATCAGAGTTAGTTAATCTGCCCCAATATAGAATCACAGGTACCAGAGGTTAACAATGTTTTTTTTAGCTCTTCATTTTTTATTTTATTTTTTCCGTTGCTCCTTTTCAAACTAGCCGTCCAGCATCATTAACTCTCTGGCTATGACAGGACTTTCTTCTCTTGGGGAGCTTACTTTGAAGGAAGAATCTCCATTTTCCCCCTCAAGAATCAAGTATAACAATATTTTTTCTCTATAGATGCGTTTTCTTGATTTGTCATGTTGATCTTCTGATTCAAATTATTTTGTATGTAAATGATTAGGGTGGAAGATTCACATAAAAATGGTTCTTCAGGTCGGTTGCTATCTAGCCTGAATGCTGGTAAGTCGAACTATGTGGTTTTTTTAGCTATTTATGATTTATTTGGTAATCAATTTAAATAATCTCACAGGTTTGTCAGTTGTAGGCATTGTTTGTTTTACCTACAGTAGGTGGACTCCAGGTTAATTCTAACCACACAAATTTTGCAGGAACAACTGCCATTAAGAAGGCATCCACCATAGCCCAGGTCAAGAATAGCCCCAACCCTATAAAAGTGGAAGGTGTGATATCTGCTTCTTCTATGCATTTGCAAAAAGCTTCCAAAGCATTCTAGTTATATGTTTACTTATGCAAGTTATTTCTAAATTGTTGGCAGATCATGATAACAGGAGTTTTGGGGGCAAAAAACCTAAACCTTCAAAAGATGAGGGCCCTTCTTTGATCGAGTTAAGTGGCTATAACTCCAAAAGGCAAGAATTTGATCCGGAATATGATAATGAAGCTGAACAATTACTCGCTGAAATGGATTTCAAGGAGGCTGACACTGAAGAGGAGCGTGAGCTGAAGTTGAGGGTTCTGCGTATCTATTCAAAGAGGTATTCACTATAATCTGTTCTTCCACTTGAGTTCACACTTAGCTACACCATGTATATGTAGAGATAATTGTAAGGTAGCCTTGAGTTAATGTTCTAATCTATAGTGCAACAGAGGAAATAGCCTTGAATTGTTGGCCTAATGACCTAATTGTAAGTTAGCCTCAAGTAAATGACCTAATTGTGAGATAGCCTTGAGTTAATGACCTAATGTATAGTACAAAAACAAAAGGAGAAATTTAGGTAGAGTGGGACTTCGCTAAGGTATATAAATGCCCACATCTGTTGTGAAGCAGTGGTCATATAAAATAGATACATTAGTCATGATTGGGGTGGCACTAGGTATGTGAGTATGTGGTCAGTTGATCTCATCCAATTGAAAAAAACATATTTACGATTGAATATAGAATGTATTTATAAGTTTTGGATGTGTTCAGAGCTGAATGAAATCTAGAATTTTTGTTTGCCATTTGAGGCCAATATAATTTTATTTTATTTTGTTTTTGTGTTTACTACTTTGTTTAGTGGTTAAAACTTAGTGTACTGGGGTTTGAACTTGAGGGTAGTCACTTTGTACAAATTAGGCCAACGTTAGATTTGTACCCAATTTACTCCTCCCAGAGTTCCATCTAATTGGGACTAAACTGTGCAAACTTTTTTGTCACTCTAATAAGCAAACCATAACAAAATACAGATTAGGGTTTATTTTTTTAAAATTGAGGAAAATTGATCTGAGTAGAAATTGGACATTTTTAATTTTTTTTTTTTTGTAGTTCATTCAGTGAAAGTTGGTTTGATTAATTCATGTTGAGGGTGAAGATTTTGAATGGCCCCATTGCACAAAATTCCTAGAGCCGCCTACCGATGAGACAAAGTTGAACAAACAATAAAACTACTTTACGTAATAGAATTGGAGACAAGGATAAAAATTGTAGTTTTTTCTCTATTGCTTGGATGTTAAATGATGCTTGGAGTGGAGATGGTTTTTTGACAGGTTATTCTTGGATTGGGGTTGAGGTATCAAAAGAGGTTTGGAGTTTTTTGTCCATGGCAAAAGATAGTTCTTGCGTCTTAAACCACGAGGATTATGTGGTGTATTTGATAGTTTATATCTTCAGAATACTGTATGATGAATTATAAGAATTTAAGGTATACCTGTAGTCATGACTGATTTAGTCAGTATAAATTTATTTCAGTTGATAAGAGATAATTCGTGCATTATGACTTGTCGTAAGTTCTTGACTCTTTAGATTACTATGCTGATTTTTGAAGTGTGGTACCTTCTTTTCCCTTCTTTCCGTTCTTCTCACTCTTTTTGTTTGTTTGTTTGTTTGTTTGTTTGTGGGTTCATGGTTCAAATAAATTATTGGAAGGCTTGATGAGAGACAGCGTAGGAAGGAATTCATCTTAGAAAGAAACTTGCTCCATCCAAATCCTTTTGAGAAGGACTTATCTCCTGAAGAGAAGGAACTATGTCGCCGTTATGATGTCTTCATGCGTTTTCATTCCAAAGAAGAGCATGATGACTTGCTTAAGACTGTTGTCCAGGAACATCGAATTATGAAAAGGATTCAAGAACTTAAAGTATGATACACATTCTTGGCAGTGAGCCTATATATAATTCCATTTTTTCTTGTTGAATAATGTTTGTTGTTTCTTCTGTTTTTCTTTAAATGAAATGACCATTATGTTGATAATTTTCATGGTTTTGGTTTTAGTTTTTAAGTTTAGGTGAGAACACAGTTTTATTAATGCATTATTTTGTGAATATACTACCACTTTTGAGGTTGTGGGTTCAAGGCTAAACACAGCCACTTTGTGCATTTATGCCAAAGGTTTGGTATGTACCCAATCTAACCCCTCCCAAACACCCATCAATGGATGCTAATTGGCCGTTGTTGCTGTAACTATCACTTTTGACCAAATCAAATATTGGTTGATGAAGTCATTTATGGATTCCTCAGAAATTTCGTCTTGAATAACTGCCTTGTGCAGTAAAATCATTGTTTATGTGGACTAATTCAAACTTTTGCATTTTGGTTCTAATAATATTATTAATATTAATGATCATTTTTTGGATTGAGTAGATGATTCTTTCTCATGATGTTTTCAAATTGATCATGCAGGAAGCCCGAACTGCTGGTTGTCGTTCATCAGATGAAGCTAAGAGATATTTTGAACAGAAAAGGAAAAGGGATGCTGAAGAAAGTGCCCGTAGCGCAAAAGATAGTACTCGGGCTGGTCCAAGCAGTCAAGCTGGCATAAGTGTGCCCACATCCACTGAGTCAGTTGGCAAGGATTCAAATTCAAGAAGTACAGGACAGGCTAATTCAACTTCCCTTAGTGAGTTAGATATTATGGCTTTCCCTGGGGCAGACTTGCTATCTGAATCTGTAAGTATGCTGTTTCTATTTCCTACTTTTTCTTTGACAAGCAAACAGGTCACCTGCTCTAAGCCTAGGCTGTTCATTAACCAACCCTTTCTTCGAAAAATGTATAGTTTTGACTGTGTTTGGCTCTATGTTACCTGGAAACGTTTTGGTACGTGGAACGGGATCGGGAACATGGTATGCCACATTTTTTTAAAATGTGGTATGATTTTCATGGATCGGAAATGTGGTATGCAACATTCTTTAAAATGTGGTTCAATAAAAGTGTAGACATGTTCAGATTAAGTTGAGTAATTTTCTTTTAATAATTAAACATTTAATAAAATGTTTTTTTTTTATTATTTATTTCTTTTGTTCTCTTCAAATTAGTTATGTTATAACACATTTCTGAGTATTATGAACCATTTTTTACATTTTGTCAAATCAAAATTCCACTTTCTCGGATTTTAATTTACTTTATTTGATTTATCTCTGCTCTGCAGGTAACTTTTTATATCGCAAAATATTTTTAGGATTCTTTTGGTTCGTTAAATTTATCAGTTTGAAATGAATGTGTACCACAATGTTTCGGAATGTACATTCCAAAACTTAAATCGCTAGGGCATTAGTGTTTTCTGGTAACACTGGTTTGGCATTATTCTCAGCTTTTAAGGCTCATCTGGTTATGGATATTTATGAAATTGATATCTTTATACAGATTTTGCTGACCAAATGTGTGATGATTAACCATTGGGGTTTGGTGAGCCTAGCTAATATGTCAGGGAAAAGATTATCTGTGTGATTTGGCTAGTATTCCTTGGTTCCTTGTTGGTTATTAATGCCTCTTAATTGCTTAACGCTGTGTTTGGTTCATGGATTTGGAAAGACATTTGCAAAAAAAAAGGGAAAGGTAGGTGAAATGTGAATACATGTCACCCATATTTCACATACCTTTTCTCTCTCCCTTTCCAAATCTCTTTCCAAATCCATTAACCAAACACAGCCCAAGTGTCGTAGGATGAGGGAAACGTGTCAAATTTTATGTTAATTTTACATACGAAAAGATAGTACTAGGCCATTGACAGAATGTAATGGTAAAAAAAAAATATTCATGTAGCCGATCTGATCCTAATTGGTTAAGTAAGACACAAGGCTTTGGTTTTGGTATGGAGATGGTACCTGCTTGCTTGAAATTTTGTATTGGTTGGATTTTAGTTTGTGTATTCAAATATAATTTTGAGGTGTTTTTGCATGCAGGAGAAACGACTATGCTGCGAACTGAGGTTACCACCACCGGATTATCATAAGATGCAAGAGATCATGACTATCCAAATCATCAGTGGTAGTATTACTAAGAAGTCTGATGCCTATCCCTTTTTCAACAAAATTGAACCAAGCAAAGTCGATAGAATCTATGATATGCTTGTGAAAAAGGGGTTTGCTCAATCATGATGACCACCTCCATCTCCGACCATTTTCATTTTGTGTTGATTTTGACTACAGATTGACCTTTTATTGCATGAGATGCATTTTGTTGCAGAAAATCAATGAAGAGTATCAAAATATGTAGGAAGGAGTAGTGAATGTTATCTTGCCTGTAGTGAAGAATGAAAGTCCGATGAAGCCACATGCAGGGTATCCCCAGAATTGTGTATCAAGGTAAAAACCATTATGAGATACTGAATGAACCATAAAGAGGGATGAAGGTTTGCCTGAATGTATGCCCTTTTGTTCCCATGTCTTGTAAACAAACTCAGGCCTTGTGTTTTGAATAAATAAAGAAAACCATTGCTCGATTTAGTTCTTCGAAGCAATGTTTGCAAAACCAAACTGGTTCAGGTTTTGATGGATCATAAGAACCGGACTTGCTCAAGAGCTGGTGGTGTTATAAGGTGGAGACTTGAACTTGTGCCTCTCGCGTAGGGAAGGTAAGCCGGGCAACCATGCCAGGCTCCACACTTGTCAGTCGGGATGTAATCGATTCGGTACGGTAGGTATTTAGGTAAAAAATTACACTGAACCAATAATGTCGATTTTATTATTTTGAATACTGATACAGACCGCTTTTTTCATCAAACTACAGTGAACCGAATCGAATTGATTGAAATGGCTCGGTTTAGTCGGTTTAAGATCTTTGAAACTTGAGCTACTTTTAAATATAATCACTAATCTATATAAAAATATTAAATTAGTTATTTGTCTACTATTTCAAATATATTCAATCTATCCATTTAATAAATACTTGTTAATTCCTAAATTATTATAAAATAATAATAAAAAAAGTTTAAGAATAAGGTTTTCGGAATATTGAGTTAAGATTATACATAAATCAGCAGTTTACAAGATTAAGTTATAAAGATGATCAGGTTACATATTAGGTTAATAATTTATTATATTTATTAATGTAATTATTTATTAGATTATTATATATTATATTATAAATAAATGTATATTGAAGCGGTCGGTTTTGATTTAAGTTCGATGTACACAGATTGTTTGAACTGATATCGACCCAAAATTATAAAAAAAACATAAATAAATAAAAGTTGCATAAAATGATTCTTGTGAAAAAAATAAATTAAATATATACTAGTTTGGTTCTGTTCAGTTGGTTTGATCATTTTTTTTTTTTATTTTCTTAGAAACCTGACAAGTTGTCATATATTGACAAATATATTATTTATTAGTGTTGATTATATATATAATATATAAATGATTTGAATAAATTAATAATGTAAGTATATATTATATATTTTTTGTAGTTATAATATATTTATACATAATTATTGATAAATTTATGTTGTAATTATGATATTACAATTTGATTCAAGCTGACTCGACGGTTTAACAATTTGATCTTTAACCCGGTTTCTTATGTAACCTTACAATTAGAACTTGGATTTATTATTGATATATTTATCTTGTAGTCTTTATTTACAGTTAGAACTTGGATTTGTGAAGAAACAAAAACAAAAAACGATAGGGAGAAGACAACCCAAGCGGTACTTTTGTCTAGATATATGGAAATTCTATTTATACATCACTAATCTTTTCTTTCGGTACACATTATTAATAGATTAATTTATATTAATTTTTAATAATATTTTTAAATGAAAAGATTAATAAGGACAATATGAGAGTATATTTTACCTATTCAAAGATTTCATATATAAATACACAAAACACTCTTCATACACCATCATCACTAATAAACATTCAAAATAAATTAGTTTTGAAGATTTAAGATTTAATTGGTTTAGAAAATTTAGGGTTTCAGCAGATTGAAATCAATTGGTTTTCCTTCGATGAGCACTCAACCGCTCTCCTTTCCTCTTTCTTTTCCTCATATGGTTTCTCCCTTTCGTAGTCTAGCATAACATAAAATTATACTATAGCATAGTACACTTGCGCATAGTTTAGCATAGTAGCATACCTTCTCTTATCTTATATAGTCTTGATGCTTGACATTGAGATTGTTGATTTCGAATAATGTAATAATGAAAAGCCAGTTTATTACTTAGCTTTTTGATTTTTTGTTTATCTCGTTCGTATAGTCGTTAGGAAGATGACTTTGTTCATCACGTGTCCGGATAACCAGAGTTGAATTTTTACGCAATATTCGATTATTTTTATTTGAACAAAATAATTTTATTCAAATTATTAAGGCCGACCAAATTATAAATGTTCATACATAAAAAATCGATCATTTTAATTCCTTAAGAACTTCATTTCTCAAATTCAATTCAATTCAATTAAATAATGTAATTTGTTTTTGGTTCTTCTTCTTTTTTTTCTTTTTTCTTTTTTTATACAAAAAGTAGATGTAGTCAACATTTACAAAAAAATAAAAATAAATATATATATAAAATTTAACATATGTTCAACAGAATAAAAATAAAAATATAACAAATGATCAACATAATAAGTCTAAACAAGTTGCGTTGTTCAACATATAAAGTATGAACGTATTTATTTTGAACATACTCAATTTGTTGAAATTTATTTTTTTGTAAGATGATATTATGTTCAAACAACCAGAGTTGGGCCAAACTCGAAATAGAAATTGCTATAGAAGTTGAATCGATAACCAAATCAAAAGCAGATAGGAAAAACATATCAAGGTGTGAATTAAGGATGAGAATGACAAATCTTCAACACCAACAATGCATCGGCCAAACAATGGCAAGACAACAACAAAGATGGAAATCTGAAACGACGACAATGCATCGGCAAACCAACGGCAAAATGACGGCAATGATAGAGATCTGAAACGATAAGAATGCACCGTTCGAATGAAACCCTCCATCAGCGATAGAGATCTTCAACATTGACGATGGAGATCTATGGTGTTTTGAGGATAAAGGTCTTTGGTGTTCTGAGCAAGGAGATATTTGGATGTGGATTGTGGTGTGTATTCAAAGAGACAAATGGTTTGTTACCTTAGGGCTAGTAATGGAAAGTTAGGTGTGAATTAAGATATTTTCAAACCCGAAAAATTATTATGTGTTTATATTAAGTAATGGTGTGTATTGAGAGGATTATGAGTGTGTAAATAGAATTACCCTTTTCATATATCAATTCAAGAAAAGCTGTGATGCCAGAATAATCTACCCAGAATTTTTTGGGTGGTGGATTGTGGAGTGGAGATTAATTTATATAGTATGGCATCCATGTGTAGAATAAATTTAAACCACAAGATGAAGATTCTAGGTAATTGTTAGGTTGATAAGGATGGGTTTGTAGTATTACTGATGTCAATTCTCTTCAGTGCGCAATGAATACTCTCATCAGTAAACACGTCAAAAAAATAAAAATTCATTACACATTTGTTTATTCTAAAAAAGCCCTCATCTTCAATTTTAAACTCTAATTTTTCTTCCATTCACCCAACTCTCTTTCACCATTGTTACTGCCACTCTCAACTATCCATCACTACTACTACCACCATCACTGTCACTCCCAGCTCATTCTCTTCTATCCTAAACCTCCATAATCAAGTGAGTAGTTTGCGATAGGGGTTTGTGGGAGCATATGATTTACGGTGGAAGGTGGTCGCAGACAAAGGAGGAAAGAGGTGATGAAGGGAGATGGCGAAGGAGAGGTGGTGTTGGTGTTGAAGGATGGTTGTGGTATTTTAGAAGTAGGGTTTAAGTGAAAAGAAGATAAGAGTATTACGGTATTTTTACTCTAAATCAAATTTATATTAAAGAAAAATTTCATTAAGTTTGTGAATTGAAAGGAATTGGTGTGTAGAAAAAGAATTATCCTACAAATTTACTAATTACATTTATCATCAAGATAATTTGTCAACAATTCTTAAGATGAGTTGTAAAATCATTTAAAAAATTCAAAATAAACTAATAAATTTTACAAATTTTTCTTATGAACTAGTGTTTTATACAATAATAAAATTTTAAAAATTTAAATAGGATCACTGCAAGGTGCTATATTAATAAGCAAGAAAAAATTTATAAAATTATTAATTTGTATAACATTGATGTTTTTGTTTTTAATGTCCTGAATAAGCTTGTCAGAGCAAGGAAATACTATAGTAGTTGATATTGCTAAATTATAACAATAACATCCAAGAAACAAGCTCCAATGACAAGCATGTTAAAAGTTATTTTTATTTATTTTTATGTAAAAATTAGTAAAGTGATGTGATTTAAAAAAGATTAAAAGTCAAAAAGTCACTTTTAATCTCTTTACCAAAAGAGAAAATATGACAAGCCAAACTTTGACAAAATTGGTTAGGGTTCTATTTTTCTCTTTCATAATTGGATCCACAGATAGAATTTTAATTTGATTTTTTATAAACAAAATTTAAGAAATGACTAGTGTACTGTTAGAGTGACATTGCTAAATTTTAGCATTTTGTTTTTTGGTTGAATGGTAAGAAGTATCCGGGTTAGTTTATGGATATCTTGACCAACCCGATTAAAGGTAGGCCATCTGCGTTGGGACTATCAAATTCATATGGAATTTGTTTCTTATGACTTGACCTCAAGAATTGAACCCTGAAACTATTGTAGGAGGAGCATACCCACCAACTATTTAGGACTACCCTCAAGGTTAAATTTTAGAATTTTTACACTCTATAACAATGCCAAAATTTGGATTTTGACTTTTTATTTTGACATTTTAATATTGGAGATACTCTTATTATTAATGAAAATAATCATGCTTGATAAGAAAATCTCCAACAGTGTATCTTTTTTTTTTTTTTCTACCAAATTTGAGTAAAATTTTGAATAAAAACTCCATTTGATATCAAGTACTTTAACGGATCAAAACATCGGTTGATCGGACAGATGACTGGGCGGATGTTCGATAGGTCGACTGGCCAGTGTAATTTTTTCACAATTTTTTGCAAATAGATAGTCATCCAGGAGGAAATCTTGGGGGACATCCATAGTGAAAATCCAACGGTTATGAACAGTGATTTGATGAAAGCTCTCAGACATCGTCAATTTGGTGAAAAATTTATCATATTCTCAATTTGATACTCATCTGATGAAGCCATTAGAGCAGGAAAAATGATTATTTTTTTATCAAATTTAAATTTGATAAAAGAATTGATGATATGTTGGAGATGGTCTAAGGTCAACGGGAATCATCAATATCTTGACACAAGGGCTATATAAGGGGGGAAAAAAATAGCTTTCAAAATTATATAATTTTACTTCAATCTTTTGGCCTCCACACATTTGAAAAGTCTTATTATTTCCAACAATCTTGAGATTTAATATAAATAATTTTGAGTCACTCTAGAGGATAGGGAATGTGGTAGCCTTTGAAGATAAGGAATGAACAAAGAATGCACTGCAGCCACCCACTGAAAAGCTTCTTCAATACCATTATCCAAGTATACAACAAACAAAATAAAGTGAATGTGTTTTCATAAACAACAATCATAGAAATGAAGACCCTTACTCCTCTGAGATCTCAACTCTGTTTTCCAAAACACACCACCCCTAATCCAAATCCCCCATTTCTCATCCACATCAAATCCATATCATCACATCTCAAACACCCATCATCATCATCATCTGTTCCTCCAAGAACCACAACCCTCCCTAGACAGATTGGAGTTACAAAAAAGAGTCTGAAACACAAGCCCCAAATCCAATCCCCAAAAACTTGTAAAGAAGAGCTCTCTTCTCATGTTTCCCCAAAAGGGGAAGGTGGATATTCAAGGTTTGTGATGATAGGAGCAGTAACTGTTGGACTAGTGGTGTTGGTAATGGGTGGTGGTGTGTTGGATGATCAAAAGGCATTGGCTTTGGGTCCAGAAGGGCCATTGATGGAAGAGTTTTGGGATAACATGAGGAGATATGCACTTTATGCTCTGACAGTGAGCACAGGTGTTGCTTACACTCTCTTGCAGCCCATATTGGAGTTGTTGAAGAACCCGATCTCTGCCATTCTCATCATAACAATCTTTGTAGGCAGTTTCTATATTGTATCTCAAGTCCTCAATGCCATGGTTGGTGTCTCTGATTTCAGTTATGAATATGGATACTAGATCAAGGCAAGGTGTCTCTGATTTCAGTTATGAATATGAATACTAGATCCAGAGATACTTCTCTTGCTCTTGCGAAACAGTTTTATGCTTGTTAGTCTTCATCTTTTTTGTACTTCCTTCTTTGATTAATGTTTATGTTTATTCCAGTAACAGATTTAAGTTTTGAACACTACTTATCTTTTTCAAGTCTAAGATGCATTGCAATTGCTTTTTTAGTTATTTTTATTTGGAAAAATTAAAAAATAAAATAAATTCATAGTTTGACTTTTGTAACAAAATAAATGTTTTTTTCCTTCTAATTTTATCAATTTAAACTCTAATATTCTCAATTGTTTTTAATCTAGACCAGATGCCTACTTTTGTTAAAATAAAACCGAAAAAAAAATTAGCCATTAGACTCAACGTAAGTGTATAGAAAATGTTTAAAATGTCATTTTTTTATTGAATTTAATGACTAAAATATCATATTTTAAAAAAAGACATCTAGATTGAAAACAAATTAAAAAATTAGAATTTAAATTGATAAAATAAAAAATTTAGGATTTATTTTGTGGTAAAGATCAAATCCTAAGATATTTTTTTGGGGGGGTTAATTTTTTTTCTTTTTATTTATAATTTTTTTTCCCAAATTTGAAAAAGTTAATGCATTTAATAATTGTTTAAATTATTATTATTATTATTATTATTATTATTATTATTATTATTATTTATACATTATAAAATAATGTTGTGAATCTCTTCCATTATTAAAAATAGGAGATGGACCTTAGATTAATTTTTCCTAAGAATTACCAAGATATCTTTTACATGCAAAATTAATGTTTTAAAAATCGGACTGGTGAACGAATCAAAAAAGGTCAGATGGATGGGTCATCAATTCGACCATCGAGTCGAATTGGAATCAAATCATGGCATTATAATTATTTTATAAATATGTTAAAAATTATTTAATAATGATATAAAAATTAAGATGCATTTATTTAAATTATTTTAAAATTTTAAGATAAATAATAATTATATAAACATATTTATATTTATTATTTGTAAAATATATTGATTATATATAATGTTTGAAAGAAATGTAATAAGAATATATATTTACCAAATATAAACAAAAGTTGAATGTGACATGGTGGTTATTTGTCATTCTACTTTCATTCGATTATGTGTTCAACTCTCCCTAAGCAACTTAGTTTTGCAAATTTGCTTGGCATTTGGCAAAATGGTTGCTGAGCTAGTTTAGTGAAAGCGACTTAGTTTTGCAAATTTGCTTGGCATTTGGCAAAATGGTTGCTCAGCTAGTTTAGTGAAACTGGCTTCAATTTGAACAGTTTACCAGTTCAACCGTGATTATTATTGGTTTAATGAAAATAAGCCAATTTTCAACACAAACGGGTTTAGGGATTAACTCAGACCAGACCTTAAACTGGTCGACGATTTAACTTGTTGAGATGAAGACACAAGGCACTTCAAGAGGAGATCAAGAGTAAATTATTAGAAGGTCACATCTCATTGTAGGAGAGGCACTTCAAGAGGAGATCAAGAGTAAGTTATTAGAAGGTCACATCTCATTGTAGGAGAGTGGTAGTTTTTAATAGGGGTGAGCATGGTTCGAAGAACAGTTTGTCAGTTCAACCATGGTTAGGACCAATTTAATGAAAATAAGCCAATTTTTAACACAGAATGGGTTTAGGGATTAACTCAAATCGGATCTTAAACCGGTTGATAGTTTAACTAGTTGAGATGAAGACACAAGGCACTTCAAGAGGAGATCAATAGGAAGTTATTAGAAAGGCCACATCTCATTGTAATGGTAGTTTTTAATAGGGATGAGCATGGTTCGGAATAGTTGGGTTTGGAATAAAATCAGGACCAATCCATTGTCTATGGTTCCATAAAAATTGGAACCAAACCAATCTATTTAAATTATGGAACTAATCCAAATATTATTCAACATTAATTTATGATTTTTATTATTACATTACTTTGAAACATTATGAATTAGGGTTTGGTTTTATATATAAGATGGTAGCATTGTATGCATCATGGTGTATGGTAAGTATATGGTTCAAGTTACATATGGTCCGGTTCAATTCTAATCCAAAACCGTGAACTTAAATCCATAACGATTCGCGGAGAGTAGTTCTCCTATTTTTCAAACCAGAACTGAACCACGAATTCAAAAAATCAAATCAAACCTATCAAATTGGACTGAACCGGTTCAGTTTGCGAATTTTTCAATTTCCTTACTCAGTCCTAATTTTAAACATGATTATTAGTGATTATTTGTAGTTATTGTAGGATTTTTATTTATAAATATGTAATTTGTCCTCATTTGTAAAGATCATCAACAACATTAGAAACATCTCTCCATTTCTTTCCTCTATTAGGAGTAGTTTATCCTAATTTTTAGGAGTGGAATAACAATAGTTTGTAACAAAATTCTGTTTAATGATATAATTTTTACTCTTTTGAAGATTAATGAAGTTGTCTTTTATTAATCTTTAATTTCTTGTTTCATTTGTTTGAATTTATTTGTGTTGTTGGCGAAATTTGTAACCAAATCATTTTTTGATTGTGGCTTTGTAAAAATTTTGCTAACAATTACTATTTTTCATAATTACATAACTGTTCACAGAAGATTGTTCTAACATATGTGTAAAGATGCATTTATAATACAAATATGTCTATAGTCCAGTAATTCATTTCAAAAAAATTTAATCCGCATTGCTATATTTGTCAAAAAAAATTTAATAAATAAATCCATTGAAAATTCATGAATGGGTAGTGCTACAATACACACCCCTCAAAAAGAGATATACCATATATAAGTTATGACACTTTGTGATGTTGATATGCAAATTGTCATAACCAAATTACTTTTTGTCATAACCAAACATCTATGAGGCATAACCAAACACCTCTTTGATCATAACTAAAATTACAACCATAATAGGTCATAACTAAGTTATAACTAATACCACACTATGCCATGATCAAGATTAATAACAAAAAAACTCTTCATTCATAACCAAAATAACAAAACTACAATAAGTTATAACTAAATTATAACTAACACAACAATGAATCATAATCGAATATCACAAATATCATAATTATGGCATATGGTACACATCTTTTTCAAGGTGTGTGTGGGAGGCAAAAATAAACTGTGACTAAGCTGGACCAGAAGTTCTTATCAGAATGACTTCCTGACAAGCCAGAAGACTTGTCATTCAGAAATCTAAAGATTTAGGCTCTGGTGGACTGGATCTAGTGTGAAGGACTTAGGACCAGAAGTCTAGGACTAGAATTGGGTCTAGAGATTTAAGGACATGATCAGAGGAGTAGAAAACATGCCTTAGGGGAGCAGACTTAGTCAAGGCATGTTCCTAAACTCTAGGCTCAACAAACTCCTAGAAATCCACGCTAAGTGGAACATAATCCCTAGAGAAAAAGGGTTGACGTGAGGAGTGAGAGGAAGGGTCACAACCCACAATGGCTATTGGGAGCAGGCTATAAATGAAGGTAATCTCCAAGTTTAAGGTACACAATCACTTCCACCTGAACCTTTACTCACATATTTTGCACTTTTGTCTACTGTTTTACTAACTTAGGCATCATAGTGCCCCCTGGCTGCTCCCCAGCCAGACCCTTCATATTTTTGTTAGGGATTTCAGGTCTAAGGCGATCCGAGGTTGTTGTAGCGTTGCCATAGTCAAGTGGTACAATTTTTACCCACCACAATTTGACGGCATCTGTGGGAATTCTGCAGCGAAAATCCTCATTTTACTTGTGAAGAGTTCAACTCACACATGGCTGTGGAGACATTAATCTCTTGACTAGAGAAGAACATGACTAAAACTATTTCCTAACCCAACGAAGGTGTCCGGTGGATGTCAAAACATCACAAGAACAACGTGAGCAAAAAGAACGGAACTTGCTCACTGCTAAGAATTCTAAAGACAACAACTGGACGCAAGAGTTGGCAAGTCGCGATCAAACCATTAATACTATGAGCCAATAGGTTAAGGAGTTGGCTAACTAAGTCAGAACCTTGAAGCAGGCATAGAACCAACCACCGACATAGGAACGACAAACTGATGGAGGCTCACGCCCCCTAGAAAGAGGCCTTCCCAATAACTTGTGCACACTCCCATTTTGACCAGCCCTAAGACTTAGACGTTTTCTTCCAAACACCTGATGATGAAAGTTGGAATGTGTTATCTTACGAATTCCTCAACAGGAGAGCTCGGTTCAAACTTTAATCCCAACCTTACACCTGTTTTGGCCAAAATATTTTAGACCCTCTTAAACCCCTTTTCAAACATTTCTACAAAGTTCTGAGGCTGGCATATTCAAAATTCAAGTGTTATATTATTTTTTATTAAATTAAGCAAGGACAAAGTGGAAATAAATGGAAGGAATGAGAATTCTCTAAAAAAAACCCTGTTTCCCTCTTTTAAAAAAGTGTCTGGCCAATCAATTTTCTGTCTGGCCAGATGATTTGTTTGAGAAATAGAGTAGTTTCGGGAAAGTTGGTTCCCATGCATGTGGATAAGGTCATCTGTCCATTTTTCATATATTTTCTATCTCGAATTCTATAAATATCACATCCCCACTTCATCTTCAAGGGTTACAAAATATTTCTAAGCTATGTTTAAGTACTTGTATGTATTTCTTTATGACTGTTATTGTTAAAGACTGTTTTCTAAAGCGATATGATTTACAAAATGAATGAGTATTCCACCTTATGCATTATTTTCATGTGGCCCTTACCCGGGGGTAACAATATCGTGGTTTATGTTCACGTGGCCCCTACCTGGGAGTAACAATACCGTGGTTTATGTTCACGTGGCCCTTAACCGAGGGTAACAATACTGTGGCCTATATTTATGTGGCCCTCGTCTGGGGATAATAATACCATGGCTAAATGAGTACAAGATATTGATTTATACGAACGTTTGTACCGATAATGATCTTGCTGACAATGATCTGAAAGACCGCTACATGTGCACGTAGGTCCTTATGAGTGCTATGCTTTTATTTAATGAACAAGCTACTGCTATGTGAATGGACTTGTTACAACAACTTATTGACCTTAATGTCTAAAAGGACATCATTTATAACCTCTTTATGCATTCGTTATTCACTGGGCTTTAGTTCACCATT